TTCACCATATATATCATATAAACACATCATGATGTAGTCTTGTAGCTGAAGTTGTAGGTTGTGATGATTAGTTAATGAATGTATATTGTGACACTGATAGAGACATGCTGGGTTTATTTCAGAGCCCTGTACAGTGACGGTGGAGGAAATGGATAGAAGAGGTATAGAGTTGGCCCATGTTAATCGGCAAAAGATGTTCGCACCACATGATGATCACATCACCTTTATGTGTAAGAGGGGCAAAGTTTCAGTAGGTTCTGCCCTAAGACAACAGTGTAATGATGGAGTGATGGCTTTACCTGAGTGTGTGAGACAGTGAGAATAAAGAATAAGTGCAGCATCAGCTGTGCTATGTAAAAACAAACGGCGTGAATCAAAATAAAACATTTTTCCCAAATCATTTTATGTGTTTTGGATTTCTTGCAAGAAAAAACAAACGGACAAAAACCTAAATAAATACTAAATGTAAAATTCTCAATATGTGCATGTATGAAAATTATGTTAACCATTTTAACGCTACATTTTTCCGTGATACTGCAAGTCAGTGAACAGCCCAATGAAACATTTATAATGTGAATCAGTTACTAATTTATAGTTTAGAGAGTGAAACTGGAATGAAACAGCTCTGGTCAGATGAGTATTTACACCAGCCATGTAAAATGTTCACATTTATTCAAGACAATTTGCACGTAATTTCTAGTTGACATGTCTGAGTAAACTAAATCAACTCTTTTTAGACTCTTCAAACCCTGTAGTATATGTTGTTCACAGATGTTACCCATGGAATCAGATTAAATTGCACAACTTTAGCTAATATTAGCACACAAACAAGGACAAAGCAACAGAGTCACCCAGGCACAAAAGCCCTGTTTTTTTATTATCGTGGGTGCGTGGGGCGGAAGGAAGGAGACTTCACAAATTCATATCACAAATGCTAAATTGTGTTTATAACTACATCTTTTGGAAAACAGGTCATCGGAGTTTTTGCCTATGAATTCGGAAGATTTGGATTACAGCGCACTAATAAAATTGTTTCATTTCGCAATAATGTTGCGTTTTTGGTGTATTTTATAGTTCTATTGTCAGTCACAGCATGTCGGAGAATGGCAATCAAAGTTAACATTACATGACAAGTAAAGGTTAAACGATGTTATTTATTTTAAGGTTTAAAGTGAAGTCGTGTTTAACATT